CAGGTGGGAAAGGGCAGTGTGGAGTGCAATAGAGATTGCATCATCTGTGGATCTGTTTGGGGCGGTATGCAAATTGGAGTGGGTCTAGGGGTTTCTGGCATAATGCTGTTGATCTGAGCCATGACCAGCCTTTCAAAGCACTTCATGGCTACAGACGTCAGTGCTACGGGTTGGTAGTCATTTAGGAAGGTTATCTTAGAATCCTTGGGCACGGGGACTATGGTTGTCTGCTTGAAACATGTTGGTATTACAGACTCAGTCAGGGACATGTTGAAAATGTCAGTGAAGACACTTGCCAGTTGGTCAGCACATGCTCGGAGTACACGTCCTGGTAATCCGTCTGGCCCTGCGGCCTTGTGAATGTTGACCTGCTTAAAAGTCTTACTCACATCGGCTACGGAGAGCGTGATCACATAGTCATCCGGAACAGCTGGTGCTCTCATGCATGCTTCAGTGTTGCTTGCCTCGAAGCGAGCATAGAAGTGGTTTAGCTCGTCTGGAAGTCTTGTGTCACTGGGCAGCTCGCGGCTGTGCTTCCCTTTGTAGTCTGTATTAGTTTTCAAGCCCTGCCACATCCGACGAGCGTCAGAGCCAGTGTAGTACGACTCAATCTTAGTCCTGTATTGACTCTTTGCCTGTTTGATGGTTCGTCGGAGGGCATAGCGGGATTTCTTATAAGCGTCCGGGTTAGAGTCCCGCTCCTTGAAAGCGGCAGCTCTACCCTTTAGCTCAGTGCGGATGTTTCCTGTAATCCATGGCTTCTGGTTGGGGTATGTACGTACAGTCACTGTGGGGACGACATCATCGATGCACTTATTGATGAAGCCAGTGACTGATGTGGTGTACTCCTCAATGCTATCTGAAGAATCCCGGAACATGTTCCAGTCTGTGCTAGTAAAACAGTCCTGTAGCTTAGCATCTGTGTCATCTGACCACTTTTTTATTAACCGAGTCACTGGTGCTTCCTGCTTTAGTTTTTGCTTATAAGCAGGAATCAGGAGGATAGAGTTATGGTCAGATTTGCCAAATGGAGGGCGAGGGAGAGCTTTGTATGCGTCTCTGTGTGTGGAGTAAAGGTGGTCTAGAGTTTTTTTTCCTCTGGTTGCACATTTAACATGCTGGTAGAAATTAGGTAGAACGGATTTAAGTTTCCCTGCATTAAAGTCCCCGGCCACTAGGAGCGCTGCATCTGGATGAGCGTTTTCCTGTTGATTTATGGCCTTATACAGCTCATTCAGTGCAATCTTAATGCCAGCATTGGTTTGTGGTGGTAAATAGACAGCTATGAAAAATATAGATGAAAACTCTCTTGGTAAATAGTGTGGTCTACAGCTTATCATAAGATACTCTACCTCAGGCGAGCAAAACCTTGAGACTTCCTTAGTATTTGATTTTGTGCCCGGTCCGGTCTATTCCTGTCCCTCGCACCAAGCCAGTGGTGTGCGTCGCCAGCCCGGCCCGGCCTGTTCCTGCCCCTCGCACCAAGCCAGTGGTGCGCGTCGCCAGCCCGGCCCAGCCTGTTCCTGCCCCTCGCACCAAGCCAGTGGTATATATATATAAAAGCCAGTGGGGGCTGGTTATGTATTGATGCAGGGCTCATCCGTAAAAGTATTCTTAATGATTTTTTTTTTAATATTCCGTAATGACTCAGATGAACATTGGGAACCACCAAAGTAAAGGTGTCCATCCCCCACTCATTCAAATGTAGAAACTGGTTCATTCCAACCCCTGCTGTCTCCCTATACCCACCCAGCCCGGCCATCTAGGTGTGTGAAGGGAAGCTAATGATCCATCATGAATGACATTCCTGGGAGTGTGTAAACTTGTATTTTTTATTACCATAGCATTTTTGTTAATGTTCTCTAGTTATGTACTTGAAAATGTATCAATTTACCAATTCGGACACTTGGGTACATTTGGGCAAATTTGTGAGGGACACCTGGGTGACTTCATACTAAATGTTATGTAGTTCCCTTATTCTTGAAGGTCTCCGTCTGAAACTTTGCACATACACTGTTGCCCTCTTGTGGACAACATCTAAATTACCTCCAGCTTCCTATCTGAATGTATGGCCTTTCTTTTTCATGTCAGATATGATGCAAAAAAAAACAAATATTTATCTTTGACCAGATCTATTGTGTTATGTTCTTCTACATTAATTTCACATTTCCACAAACTTCAAAGTATTCCCTTTCAAATAGTATCAAGAATATGCATATCCTTGCTTCAGGTCCTGAGCTACAGTCAGTTAGATTTGGGTATTCATTTTAGGCGAAAATGGAAAAAAAGGGTCAGATCCATAAGACGTTAATGCGTTTGAGCCAATCTGTTGTGTTGTGACAAGGTAGGGGGGTATACAGAAGATAGCCCTATTTGGTAAAATACCAAGTCCATATTATGGCAAGAACAGCTCCAATAAGCAAAGAGAAACGACAGTCCATCATTACTTTAAAACATGAAGGTCAGTCAATCCAGTAAAATTTCAAGAACTTTTAAAGTTTCTTCAAGTGCAGTCGCAAAAAACCATCAAGCGCTATGATGAAACTGGCTCTCATGAGGACCACCACAGGAATGGAAGACCCAGAGTTACCTCTACTGCAGAGGATAAGTTCATTAGAGTTGCCAGCCTCAGATTGCATCCCAAATAAATGCATCACAGAGTTCAAGTAACAGACACATCTCAACATCAACTGTTCAGAGGAGACTGCGTGAATCAGGCCTTCATGGTCGATTTGCTGCAAAGAAACCACTACTAAAGGACACCAATAATAAGAAGAGACTTGCTTGGGCCAAGAAACACGAGAAATGGACATTAGACTGGTGGAAATCTGTCCTTTGGTCTGATGAGTCCAAATTGGAGATTTTGGGTTCCAACCGCCGTGTCTTTGTGAGACACAGAGTAGGTGAACGGATGATCTCCCCATGTGTGGTTTCCATCATGAAGCATGGAGGAGGAGGTGTGATGGTGTGGGGGGGGGTGCTTTGCTGGTGACACTGTCAGTGATTTATTTAGAATTCAAGGCACACTTCTGCAGCGATACGCCATCCCATCTGATTTGCGCTTAGTGAGACTATCATTTGTTTTTCAACAGGATAATGGCCCAAAACATACCTCCAGGCTGTGTAATGGCTATTTGACCAAGAAGGAGAGTGATGGAGTCCTGCATCAGATGACCTGGCCTCCTCAATCACCCGACCTCAACCCAATTGAGATGGTTTGGGATGAGTTGGACCGCAGAGTGAAGGAAAAGCAGCCAACAAGTGCTCCTTCAAGACTGAAAAATAATTCCTCATGAAGCTGGTTGAGAGAATGCCAAGAGTGTGCAAAGCTGTCATCAAGGCAAAGGGTGGCTACTTTGAAGAATCTCAAATATAAAATATAATTGTAATTTGTTTAACACTTTTTTGGTTACCCACATGATTCCATGTGTGTTATTTCATAGTTTTGATGTCTTCACTATTATTCTACAATGTAGAAAATAGTAAAAACAAAGAAAAAAACCTTGAATGAGTAGGTGTGTCTAAACTTTTGACTGGTACTGTATATAAAAACAACAACAACCTTGGAACTTCCTGGAGGATTCAAGAATTGCTCTGATTACAGAAGATAACAGGTAGGTGTTTACTTTTCTTGCAATTTCTTTGTCAGTGGACTTGGACCAGATATAGAATATGCTACAAAGAAATATAGAACACATAACAAATCTACTGAAAAATAAAACTCTCTAACTAAAATATTTTATTGCAAAACAATCAACTTTCTGGTTAAGAATATAAAATAAATTCACTGTCAAATGACCCCCTAAGATATGAAAACAATATATACTCTACTACAATCCTGTAGTGAGATCACATTAAAGATTACTTGATTAAGTGAAAAATGACATACAAATTATGAATAAAAGTGATGAATGATAAATTAAGACTGCACAAACAAAAAAATGCATTTCTGAGAGTTTATCTAATTCAGTATCTAATTAATTTAGTAAAGAAAAAACTACTAATTATGAAAGTGTCCTGATCTGACAAGAGTATATTATACAGAACATAGGAATTTGAGAGAAATTGTCATAAGATATTGATTGAAAAACCATAAATGTTACTGTCAAGTTCTGCGTGATTTCTGGCTGACCACAGCTCTGCCCAAACTTGAAAATGGCTTTATCCTTGATGAACGCAAAGGACAACTCAAAACTGTTCACTTTATGATTTTTTATTGTCCTAAAGATGGAACAGAATAGGTTGATAACCTTCAAAACACACAAACAAAAAACCATGGATTAGTTACAAATAACTCTCAATTCCACTTTCTCAAAAATAAGCATAAACTAATGTTACTGAATCCTCAAACCTAACCAAACAATCATTTCATCATTTAGATTAACCTAGGATCATTGCAAGTTAATAATTAAATATCAATATCATAATTAAACATTTAACAATACACATGATTATAGTAACGTTACTGTCAAGTTCTACGTTCACATAATGAAGTCTTCACTATTTAATTAATAATTGTATTGTATGTTACAACCAAACCAAAAGGGCATATAGAAGCATGAATTCACAACACATTCTGTCCTACCAGTTGCGTCTTTGGATGATCAGGAGCTGTGGTCATTGGTATCTCTTCTCAGGAATGAGTGAGAGCCAAGTAAGCTTTTACCAAACATTTCGATGCCATGCACATGCACTGCTTGTGGGTGCGCAGGTTAATATGGTCCCCAGAGCACTTCCAAGCTTGTTGTTTTCCCTAGGAACTAAACAGAAGCAAATGGAACGAAACAGGGCGGGACCTTCCTGAACTTTGACACGTTGTAAATATATTTCACAATCCTGCCACTGGTCAAATCAAATGGGTCAATGCACTTTATTGACCCGAGACATTCAGCATTTCTATTTGTCACTGTACTCATAGTCCTCATATTTATCTCTCCTGTGATCTCTCTCTCCATCTATTATTCTCATGCTTTCCTCACTGGAGCTTTCACTCTCTTTCAAAGGTACCACTTTTTGGTCAGAGAGCTCACGATATGAAGAGAGCGTCCTATGTCACTCACAATTGCTGGATCAAGGAGTGTCAGTTGGTCTTTTTTGGCTTCTCTACGTGGTGCCTCCCTATCAAATGTGAATCCTTGCTTTTCAACTCTTCTGTCCAGACTTCCGTTGACCTGAAACAAATCGCAGGAAGAAAATTATAATACGCTGTACACAGGCACAACTCAAGGGAATGTTTTGCAGATATATACTAACCTTAGTAAAGAGCTCGTACATGTGGCGGGAAGTCGAAAAGTCCACAAACACCTTCTCCATCTCCACAAACAGTGGGCATCCATAGTCCTGGTGTCTAATCGCCAGTTTTTCTACAATAGAAAAAATATGAAATTGAGGAAAAGAGAGGCCAAATTTGAACCAAGAGAGAATTAGGTTAGTCCAATATAAAGAATCAACTACCATGCTATAGGAAAGGAATTTATACCTGGACACACGGCATACACAACCATGATGTCAGACTCTGTGGGAAGCAACTTTGACGTCGAAGGACCAGATTGTTTACTTCCATCCATGTAAGGGTGTTTGGGATGCTCCTTCACTGAAAATAAAAGCAGTTCATTTACATAAAAATAAAAAATTCAATTGTCATTAAACGTGACACAGAAACTCATACAGCCGTAGGCTTACGTACCTCCCCTACAGGCTTGCACAACGAAGAGCTTTGGTTTCTCGCGGAGGGCTGGGCACAGGCGGTTGTTAAACATCTGGTAGATTTCCTCCAGCTCGATCTCCTCCCCATTAGACACAGAGATGTGTCCTAATCTACCATGACACATGATCACGACCATGAGGCAACTGACATCGCATGGCAGTTCGTCTCTAAATGTCCTGAATGCAGTCATCACCTCCTGAAATGAACGCAACATACAGCATGGAAGTAGAATTTGTCAACACATGGATTTATTTTTTAAACATGAATTCTTGCATTTCTAGCTGTGGCGTACGGCAGGTCAGCCACCAGGGGGAGACTTGTCGAGGCCTGGTAACAGATGGAATATACATCACGAGGCGGTGGCTCCATCTGCTGGACGTGCCAGGTCTCGACTGGCTTCCCGGACAGGACTAATTGGGGCTGATTGGGAGCTGGTGAGTAATTAAGGGCGGATTGCTCACCAGCTGTGGAAGGCCCATAAAGTAGGCCAGACGGGCAGCACATGGGGGAAGGAAGGTAAATTCTGTGTAGTTGGAGACGGTATCCTGGAGAGGGTCTCATGGGGGGGGAGACCTAATCTTTTATTTGGATTACTTTATTAATAAACACCCTTGAAACCGAGCTACTCTGTCCGTGTCTGATCTGTGTAAACGTCTTTGACCCAACACCCTGATCTGCCATATTTGCATATTAGGTGCAGTGTTGTGATGGCATAGCGATGCAGTTGTTCCAAGTTACAGTAACAATGTCAGGTATAAACTTGACTACTTTCAGTTTCATTGTAATTGATTTCACAACAATAAATGGCTGTTTAACCATGATCCTTTGTGAATACGATTGTTTCATAAGGTTTTTCTTACTATTCCCACACCCTTTACTCTACTGTAGACTGTAGACCAATAATATTATATGCCAATTGTGTAAATAACCAACTAAAATGTAATACAGCTCACTGCATATTGTTAATAATACACCATTGCTCTATAGCCTATCGCTGCGTAAATAACATGAATACTAATGATACTATGCTATAATGAAACTTACTTTTTGATTAAGGGCGTTAACCGCCGTGTGACGAAAGCCATTCCTTTTGAAGAGCACTTCCATCCGTTGAACATCGTGTTCGGCTCCACGTCTCTTCATGTCGCAAAGAATCAAGGCTCTACGGCTCTTACTTAACTCGTACCTATCCATCTTACAGTCTGCCTCGTGTAGACCGTCAACTCTAGAGACCTCAAGACAAAGATTCAACAACACCCGACGTAACCTTGCTATACAATCTCATGAAGGTTTACGTTAGCATGAATTTGCCCCTTTCTCTTCAAAGTCAGCTCCGGTTGGATGCCGATACTAAAGTCACATTAAAGGGCGTGTGATAACGTTTAGTGATTATGTAACAACCTACTGGTAATACCTGTACAGCCATATGCTACTGACCTTCAGGAAAAGCTTTGTAGTTCACCGATGAGACATTAAAGGATACTATTTATTCAAATCAAATTAAAATACATTTTAAAATAATGTTGTTTTGTAAATGAGAAATTATAGCTCGGTTCTGATATTGGCTGTGAGCCAAGGGTAGCAAAACACACTCATATTGAAACTAAAAGGAATCAGCAGGATGTTGTTCTCATTGGATAAGAGTGTTTTTCTATGACTCTGGTTAAACAAAGTACAGAGGAGGGGTTGGGAGGAGGTGCTCAACAAGGTGTGTGGAAAGTACCTAACTATCATTGCACTATGTACGGTTTTGCAACAGTGTGTGTGTGAATTTGAAAGCAGACCATTAGTTGAAAATATTGTGGCAAGGCAAATGGCTAACTCTCGAATCCAGGTGAGTTGACTCATTTTATTAATAGACAATTGCACATGTTTGTACATTTTCTAATCACATCAGTATATTATGGTACCAATATGAACACCTCCAGCAGCAAGTCTAACTTTAGCCTTGAATTCCTCTATTGGGACAAAGTGCTACATGTTTAAGGAACGCTGGAGACTATTCCAGAACCAAAGGGCCATAACAGAAAACCGCAAACCAGCTCTTAGTTTTATGGCCCTTTGGTTCTGGAATAGTCTCCAGCGTTCCTTAAACGTGTAGCACTTTGTCCCAATAGAGGTGTTCAACTACAATATCACATCAGTTTTATGATCACTATGGGTATTGATTGGTGTTGATATTTATGTGTTTTGCTGTATATGTTCTGTACTGTTGAATGTGCATTTTCTTTAATTGAGCTGCTCTTCAAGGCCAGGTCTCTACCATTAGAGTTATTCTCTGACCTCATTGGTACTTCCTGGTTAAATAAAAAACCAAAACAAACACATTTCTCCATTACATTCTCTTTGTCGGTTCTACACAGCATGCACAGCAGGAGTTTGACAGATATAACTTGAAGGGACAACGCAGAGCATTGATGTTGTGTATCAAGAAGGATCACAAAGGTGCTGATAGTAACCTCAAAATAATGAAGCAGCTTTTCACGGATTATGGTTTCCTGTATGAAATTGAGATTGACAAAACTGCAAAGGTATGTTTCATGTTTATTTGTTTACCAGCTGTATTAATATTCAGTTACAATATATAAATATATAAAACATATTGCGTATAAAAAAACAAGTCTAACTATTCTTTAGAGAAACAACTATTCAACAATTTCTCACCCATCTACACACAACAGCCCATTATGACAAAGTGAAAACAAATGTATTGACAATGAAAGGTGCAGTGGTGGAAAAAGTACTCAGTTGTCGTACTTGAGTAAAAGTAAAGATACCTTAATAGAAAATGACTCAAGTAAAAGTGAAAGTCACCCAGTAAAATTCTACTTGAGTAAAAGTCTAAAAGTATTTGGTTTTAAATATACTTAAGTATCAAAAGTAAATATAATTGCTCAAATGTAAAAGTATAAACCATTTCAAATTCCTTATATTAAGCAAACCTTTTTATTTATTTACGGATAGCCAGGGGGCACACTCCAACACTCAGACATAATTTACAATTGAAGCATTTGTGTTTAGTGAGTCTGCCAGATCAGAGGCAGTAGGGATGACCAGGGATGTTCTCTTGATAAGTGCGTGAATTGGACCATTTTCCTGTCAAAATGTAATGAGTACTTTTGGGTGTCAGGGAAAATGTATAGAGTAAAAAGTACATTATTTTCTTTAGGAATGTAGTGAAGGAATGTAACTCTGTGTTGTTGTTGTTTTTATCGCACTGCTTTGCTTTATCTTGGCCAGGTCGCAGTTGTACATGGCTTACCTGGTTAAATAAAAAATAAAAAGTAAAAGCAAAAGTTGGCAAAAATCTAAATAGTACAGTAAAGTACCCCAAAAAACTACTTAAGTAGTACTTTAAAGTATTTTTACTGAAGTACTTTACACCACTGGAAAGGTGTGTGTGTGTGTATGTATGTCGGTATATCTGTATGTATATATGTCTGTATGTATTTATATATGTCTGTATGTCTGTATGTATGTATGTTTGAAAGTATATACAGTGGGGAAAATAAATATTTAGTCAGCCACCAATTGTGCAAGTTCTCCCACTTAAAAAGATGAGAGAGGCCTGTAATTTTCATCATAGGTACACGTCAACTATGACAGACAAATTGAGATTTTTTTTCTCCAGAAAATCACATTGTAGGATATTTAATGAATTTATTTGCAAATTATGGTGGAAAATAAGTATTTGGTCACCTACAAACAAGCAAGATTTCTGGCTCTCACAGACCTGTAACTTCTTCTTTAAGAGGCCCCTCTGTCCTCCACTCGTTACCTGTATTAATGGCACCTGTTTGAACTTGTTATCAGTATAAAAGACACCTGTCCACAACCTCAAACAGTCACACTCCAAACTCCACTATGGCCAAGACCAAAGAGCTGTCAAAGGACACCAGAAACAAAATTGTAGACCTGCACCAGGCTGGGAAGACTGAATCTGCAATAGGTAAGCAGCTTGGTTTGAAGAAATCAACTGTGGGAGCAATTATTAGGAAATGGAAGACATACAAGACCACTGATAATCTCCCTCGATCTGGGGCTCCACGCAAGATCTCACCCCGTGGGGTCAAAATGATCACAAGAACGGTGAGCAAAAATCCCAGAACCACACAGGGGGACCTAGTGAATGACCTGCAGAGAGCTGGGACCAAAGTAACAAAGCCTACCATCAGTAACACACTACGCCGCCAGGGACTCAAATCCTGCAGTGCCAGACGTGTCCCCCTGCTTAAGCCAGTACATGTCCAGGCCCGTCTGAAGTTTGCTAGAGTGCATTTGGATGATCCAGAAGAGGATTGGGAGAATGTCATATGGTCAGATGAAACCAAAATATAACCTTTTGGTAAAAACTCAACTCGTCGTGTTTGGAGGACAAAGAATGCTGAGTTGCATCCAAAGAACACCATACCTACTGTGAAGCATGGGGGTGGAAACATCATAATTTGGGGCTGTTTTTCTGCAAAGGAACCAGGACGACTGATCCGTGTAAAGGAAAGAATGAATGGGGCCATGTATCGTGAGATTTTGAGTGAAAACCTCCTTCCATCAGCAAGGGCATTGAAGATGAAACGTGGCTGGGTCTTTCAGCATGACAATGATCCCAAACACACCGCCCGGGCAACAAAGGAGTGGCTTCGTAAGAAGCATTTCAAGGTCCTGGAGTGGCCTAGCCAGTCGCCAGATCTCAACCCCATAGAAAATCTTTGTAGGGAGTTGAAAGTCTGTGTTGCCCAGCGACAGCCCCAAAACATCACTGCTCTAGAGGAGATCTGCATGGAGGAATGGGCCAAAATACCAGCAACAGTGTGTGAAAACCTTGTGAAGACTTACAGAAAACGTTTGACCTGTGTCATTGCCAACAAAGGGTGTATAACAAAGTATTGAGAAACTTTTGTTATTGACCTAATACTTATTTCCCACCATAATTTGCAAATAAATTCATTAAAAATCCTACAATGTGATGTTCTGGATTTTTTTTCTCTCATTTTGTCTGTCATAGTTGACGTGTACCTATGATGAAAATTACAGGCCTCTCTCATCTTTTTAAGTGGGAGAACTTGCACAATTGGTGGCTGACTAAATACTTTTTTTCCCCACTGTATGTCTGTATGTATATATGTCTGTATGTACAGTTGAAGTTGGAAGTTTACATACACCTTAGCCAAATACATTTAAACTCAGTTTTTCACAATTATTAATCTTAGTAAAGCTTCTAAAGCCATGACATCATTTTCTGGAATTTTCCAAGCTGTTTAAAGGCACAGTCAACTTAGTGTATGTAAACTTCTGACCCACTGGAATTGTGATACAGTGAATTATAAGTGAAATAATCTGTCTGTAAACAATTGTTGGAAAAATGAATTGTGTCATGCACAAAGTAGATGTCCTAACCGACTTGGCAAAACTATAGTTTGTTAACAAGCATTTTGTGGAGTGGTTGAAAACCGAGTTTTAATGACTCCAACCTAAGTGTATGTAAACTTCCGACTTCAACTGTATGGCTGTATGTACAGTGAGGAGAACAAGTATTTGAAACACTGCCGATTTTGCAGGATTTCCTACTTACAAAGCATGTAGTGATCTGTAATTTTTATCATAGGTACACTTCAACTGTGAGAGACGGAATCTAAAACAAAACTCCAGAAAATCACATTGTATGATTTTTTAAGTAATTAATTTGCATTTTATTGCATGACATAAGTATTTGATACATCAGAAAAGCAGAACTTAATATTTGGTACAGAAACCTTTGTTTGCAATTACAGAGATCATACGTTTCCTGTAGGTCTTGACCAGGTTAGCACACACTGCAGCAGGGATTTTGGCCCACTCCACCATACAGACCTTCTCCAGATCCTTCAGGTTTCGGGGCTGTCGCTGGGCAATACGGACTTTCAGCTCCCTCCAAATATTTTCTATTGGGTTCAGGTCTGGAGACTGGCTAGGCCACTCCAGGACCTTGAGATGCTTCTTACGGAGCCACTCCTTAGTTGCCCTGGCTGTGTGTTTCGGGTCGTTGTCATGCTGGAAGATCCAGCCACGACCCATCTTCAATGCTCTTACTGAGGGAAGGAGGTTGTTGGCCAAGATCTCGCGATACATGGCCCCATCCATCCTCCCCTCAATACGGCTCAGTCGTCCTGTCCCCTTTGCAGAAAAGCATCCCCAAAGAATGATGTTTCCAACTCCATGCTTCACGGTTGGGATGGTCTTCTTGGGGTTGTACTCATCCTTCTTCTTCCTCCAAACACAGCGAGTGGAGTTTAGACCAAAAAGCTATATTTTTGTCTCATCAGACCACATGACCTTCTCCCATTCCTCCTCTGGATCATCCAGATGGTCATTGGCAAACTTCAGACGGGCCTGGACATGCGCTGGCTTGAGAGGGGGACCGTGCGTGCGCTGCAGGATTTTAATCCATGATGGCGTAGTGTGTTACTAATGGTTTTCTTTGAGACTGTGGTCCCAGCTCTCTTCAGGTCATTGACCAGGTCCTGCCGTGTAGTTCTGGGCTGATCCCTCACCTTCCTCATGATCATTGATGCCCCACGAGGTGAGATCTTGCATGGAGCCCCAGACCGAGGCTGATTGACCGTCATCTTGAACTTCTTCCATTTTCTAATAATTGCTCCAACAGTTGTTGCCTTCTCACCAAGCTGCTTGCCTATTGTCCTGTAGCCCATCCCAGCCTTATGCAGGTCTACAATTTTATCCCTGATGTCCTTACACAGCTCTCTGGTCTTGGCCATTGTGGAGAGGTTGGAGTCTGTTTGATTGAGTGTGTGGACAGGTGTCTTTTATACAGGTAACGAGTTCAAACAGGTGCAATTAATACAGGCAATGAGTGGAGAACAGGAGGGCTTTTTAAAGAAAAACTAACAGGTCTGTGAGAGCCGGAATTCTTAATGGTTGGTAGGTGATCAAATACTTATGTCATGCAATAAAATGCAAATTAACTACTTAAAAATCATACAATGTGATTTTCTGGATTTTTGTTTTAGATTCCGTCTCTCACAGTTGAAGTGTACCTATGATACAAATTACAGACCTCTACATGCTTTGTAAGTAGGAAAACCTGCAAAATCGGCAGTGTATCAAATACTTGTTCTCCCCACTGTATATATGTCTGTATGTATATATGTCTGTACGTCTGTCTGTCTGTCTGTCTGTCTGTCTGTCTGTCTGTATGTACAGTATGTGATGATTATACATGACTTATTGAGGAGGGTATTACTTTGTGATGGACTACCCCATTCAGGAAATGAAGAAGGCAGTCTCTGACTTCAGAGACGCCATCAACAGAAGCACAGAAGACATCAGCTGTGTTTTTGTAGTGACCACCTCCCACGGAACCCGTGATGTCATCACAGGTGTAGATAACAAAAGCCTGTCAGTGAAAGATATAATTCAGCCGTTTGGAGATGAGCTGTGCCCCAAGATGAAGGGGAAGCCCAAGGTCTTCATCATAAATGCCTGTAGAGGGAGTAAGTTACCACTTCCATGTACAGTACTATAGGGTTACAAAATTCTGGTAACTTTCCCAAAACTCTCAAGTTTTTTATAAATCCTGTTTTGAAGATTCCCGGAATGAGGAGGGGATAAGGAACTCTGGAATCCTCCAACCAGGATTTCAAGAAAAACTGGGACATTTGAATATTGTTTTCTTAAAACATCCTCCACTAACTATTGTGAAATGAAATTATGCCAATGATTATTTAATGATGTACAATAAATGTCTTAACATATTTAAATCTAAGAGCGGGATGATTCTGGAGTGCCTGTTGACACTGCTGCTGATAGTAAACTAGGGAAGGAGGACAAGGACACACGAACATACAGGTCCAGTCGAGTAGCACCATGTATTGATGATATGCTGGTTGCATATTCAGCTGTGACCGGTAATTGCATTAATTACTTTATTTTTTATTTTTTTGTTGAACATTTAATACACAGTGATGTAGGACACTCCCCTGCAGCACCTGCAAGTTTTTTAAAAAATGTTTGGAATTACATTAAAGTAGCCTCATGGCAAAATGTGTAGAATAGCATGAGACTAGCTACACATTTTTCTATCTGCCCCATGCAGAGAATTGCGAGAAGTTAGCTGTTTTCCTATTTATTTATTTTTTTTAACAAATAATAATCTGAACTTGCGTGGCCTTGCAAAACTGTGTAATGCCACTGAATACAGAATCAATGGTTAAACAATAGTAGTTATTTTCAGTCAAGCGAATAACTAATTAGTAAACTATTGCATAACCAAAGATAATAGATACACTTGGAACAGCATCTCAAATGTATGATTAATGTATCATACATTCAAATAAATCTAGGTGTTCATTGAAAGGAAACATGAATGACAAATTATGTTCTTGTTACAGATTATAAGTCCTTGATGAGTAGCGTGGGGTCACATATGATTGTCAACATAGGTGAGGTGTTCAATTCACCCACAGAGGAAGAACATGTCTATGACCTATTTGTGAAGGTACAGTCTATCTATGAATAACACATTAATGGCACCCCTTCATGTGTTACATAGTAAAACAAAAGTGGCACTGGCAACAACATTAACTAATGTTGGTGTTGATGTCTAATTGAAGTTTTAAATACAGCATGTTTTAAAGTAGAAGACCAGTAGGTGACCAGTATGACGCAAACACTATAGTGAACTTTTAACAAATTATTTACAAAATTACGAACGATTGCCAGAGTGGCTTTTGGATTAGTTTCCATTTTGAGTGCTGCCATTTGGGATGGTTGATGTTGTTTATACGGCATTTCCAACCACTGTGATCATAATTCCAACCACTGTGATCATAATTCCAACCACTGTGATCATAATTCCAACCACTGTGATCATAATTCCAACCACTGTGATCATAATTCCAACCACTGTGATCATAATTCCAACCACTGTGATCATAATTCCAACCACTGTGATCATAATTCCAACCACTGTGATCATAATTCCAACCACTGTGATCATAATTCCAACCACTGTGATCATAATTGTTTTCTGCGTCCACAGGCCAACGCAGAGATGGTGAAGAGAAACGCTCCAAGTAGTAGAACAATGGTGGTGATGACAATCGAGTCCACCCTCAAGAGGCTATTTTACCTGGGACGTAAATCTTCCACTGACACTGAGACTACTAATGCAGAAAGGTAAAGGCAGAGAGGTGAAAAGTTGGAAAGGACAGTGGCTTGCGAAAGTATTCACCCCCCTTGGCATTTTTCCTATTTTGTTGCCTTACAACCTGGAATTAAAATGGATTGTTTTGGGGGGGTTGTATCATTTGTTTTACACAACATTATTGTGTTATTGTGAAACAGAAAACTTGAGTGTGCATAACTATTAACCCCCCCCAATGTCAATACTTTGTAGAGCCACCTTTTGCAGCAATTACAACTGCAAGGCTCCTGGGGTATGTCTCTATAAGCTTGGTACATCTAGCCACTGGGATTTTTGCCCATTCTTCAAGGCAAAACTGCTCCAGCTCCTTCAAGTTGGATGGGTTCCGCTGGTGTACAGGAATCTTTTAGTCATACCACAGATTGGATTGAGGTCTGGGCTTTGACTAGGCCATTCACATTACATTTACGTCATTTAGCAGACGCTCTTATCCAGAGCAACTTACAGGAGCAATTAGGGTTAAGTGCCTTGCTCAAGGGCATATGACAGATTTTTCACCTAGTCGGCTCGGGGATTAGAACTAGCGACCTTTCGGTTACTGGCACAATGCTCTTACCCACTAAGCCACCTACATGTTTCCCCTTAAACCACTTGAGTGTTGCTTTAGCAGTATGCTTAGGGTCATTGACCTGCTGGAAGGTGAACCTCCGTCCCAGTCTCAAATCTCTGGAAGACTGAAACAGGTTTCCCTCAAGAATTCCCCTGTATTTAGCGCCATCCATAATTCCTTCAATTCTGACCAGTTTCCCAGTCCCTGCCGATGAAAAACATCCCCACAGCATGATGCTGCCACCACCATGCTTCACTGTGGGGATGGTGTTCTCGGGGTGATGAGAGGTGTTGGGTTTGCGCCAGACATAGCGTTTTCCTTGATGGCGAAAAAGCTAAATTTTAGTCTCATCTGACCAGAGTACCTTCTTCCATATGTTTGGGGAGTGTCCCACAACACCAAACGTGTTTGCTTATTTTTTTTCATTTCACTTCACCAATTTGGACTATGTTGTGTATGTCCATTACATGAAATCCAAATATAAATCCTTTTAAATTACAGGTTGTAATGCAACAAAATAGGAAAACGCCAAGGGGGATGAATACTTTTGCAAGGCACTGTATATGAAATCCCAGAGTCGACAAGGTAAAACGTCTGTCCTTCTGCCCCTGAGCAAGGCAGTTTAACCCCCAACAACTGATGTATATTAAGGCAGGGATTTGTTTATAAAGGGTGCGTAAATTGGCATTTTGTCAAATGAATGAGTACTTTTGGGTGTCAGGGAAAATGTATAGAGTAAAAAGTACATTATTTTCTTTAGGAATGTAGTGAAGGAATGTAACTCTGTGTTGTTGTTGTTTTTATCGCACTGCTTTGCTTAATCTTGGCCAGGTCGCAGTTGTACATGGCTTACCTGGTTAAATAAAAATAAACAAGTAAATGCAAAAGTTGGCAAAAATCTAAATAGTACAGTAAAGTACCCCCAAAAACTACTGAAGTAGTACTTTAAAGTATTTTTACTGAAGTACTTTACACCACTGGAAAGGTGTGTGTGTGTGTATGTATGTCTGTATATCTGTATGTCTGTATGTCTGTATGTATATATGTCTGTATGTATTTATATATGTATGTATGTTTGAAAGTATATACAGTGGGGGAAAAAAGTATTTAGTCAGCCACCAATTGTGCAAGTTCTCCCACTTAAAAAGATGAGAGAGGCCTGTAATTTTCATCATAGGTACACGTCAACTATGACAGACAAATTGAGATTTTTTTTCTCCAGAAAATCACATTGTAGGATTTTTAATGAATTTATTTGCAAATTATGGTGGAAAATAAGTATTTGGTCACCTACAAACAAGCAAGATTTCTGGCTCTCACAGACCTGTAACTTCTTCTTTAAGAGGCTCCTCTGTCCTCCACTCGTTACCTGTATTAATGGCACCTGTTTGAACTTGTTATCAGTATAAAAGACACCTGTCCACAACCTCAAACAGTCACACTCCAAACTCCACTATGGCCAAGACCAAAGAGCTGTCAAAGGACACCAGAAACAAAATTGTAGACCTGCACCAGGCTGGGAAGACTGAATCTGCAATAGGTAAGCAGCTTGGTTTGAAGAAATCAACTGTGGGAGCAATTATTAGGAAATGGAAGACATACAAGACCACTGATAATCTCCCTCGATCTGGGGCTCCACGCAAGATCTCACCCCGTGGGGTCAAAATGATCACAAGAACGGTGAGCAAAAATCCCAGAACCACACGGGGGGACCTAGTGAATGACCTGCAGAGAGCTGGGACCAAAGTAACAAAGCCTACCATCAGTAACACACTACGCCGCCAGGGACTCAAATCCTGCAGTGCCAGACGTGTCCCCCTGCTTAAGCCAGTACATGTCCAGGCCCGTCTGAAGTTTGCTAGAGTGCATTTGGATGATCCAGAAGAGGATTGGGAGAATGTCATATGGTCAGATGAAACCAAAATATAACTTTTTGGTAAAAACTCAACTCGTCGTGTTTGGAGGACAAAGAATGCTGAGTTGCATCCAAAGAACACCATACCTACTGTGAAGCATGGGGGTGGAAACATCATAATTTGGGGCTGTTTTTCTGCAAAGGAACCAGGACGACTGATCCGTGTAAAGGAAAGAATGAATGGGGCCATGTATCGTGAGATTTTGAGTGAAAACCTCCTTCCATCAGCAAGGGCATTGAAGATGAAACGTGGCTGGGTCTTTCAGCATGACAATGATCCCAAACACACCGCCCGGGCAACAAAGGAGTGGCTTCGTAAGAAGCATTTCAAGGTGTTGGAGTGGCCTAGCCAGTCTCCAGATCTCAACCCCATAGAAAATCTTTGTAGGGAGTTGAATGTCCGTGTTGCCCAGCGACAGCCCCAAAACATCACTGCTCTAGAGGAGATCTGCATGGAGGAATGGGCCAAAATACCAGCAACAGTGTGTGAAAACCTTGTGAAGACTTACAGAAAACGTTTGACCTGTGTCATTGCCAACAAAGGGTATATAACAAAGTATTGAGAAACTTTTGTTATTGACCAAATACTTATTTTCCACCATAATTTGCAAATAAATTCATTAAAAATCCTACAATGTGATTTTCTGGATTTTTTTATCTAATTTTGTTAGATCATCATCATCATACAGACATATATACATACAGACATATATACATACAGACATATATACAGTGGGGAGAACAAGTATTTGATACACTGCCGATTTTGCAGGTTTTCCTACTTACAAAGCATGTAGAGGTCTGTAATTTGTATCATAGGTACACTTCAACTGTGAGAGACGGAATCTAAAACAAAAATCCAGAAAATCACATTGTATGATTTTTAAGTAATTAATTTGCATTTTATTGCATGACATAAGTATTTGATCACCTACCAACCAGTAAGAATTCCGGCTCTCACAGACCTGTTAGTTTTTCTTTAAGAAGCCCTCCTGTTCTCCACTCATTACCTGTATTAACTGCACCTGTTTGAACTTGTTACCTGTATAAAAGACACCTGTCCACACACTCAATCAAACAGACTCCAACCTCTCCACAATGGCCAAGACCAGAGAGCTGTGTAAGGACATCAGGGAATAAAATTGTAGACCTGCACAAGGCTGGGATGGGCTACAGGACAATAGGCAAGCAGCTTGGTGAGAAGGCAACAACTGTTGGCGCAATTATTAGAAAATGAAGAAGTTCAAGATGACGGTCAATCACCCTCGGTCTGGGGCTCCATGCAAGATCTCACCTCGTGGGGCATCAATGATCATGAGGAGGTGAGGGATCCCGCCCAGAACTACACGGCAGGACCTGGTCAATGACCTGAAGAGAGCTGGGACCACAGTCTCAAAGAAAACCTTAGTAACACACTACGCCGTCATGGATTAAATCCTGCAGCGCACGCAAGGTCCCCCTGCTCAAGCCAGCGCATGTCCAGGCCCGTCTGAGTTTGCCAATGACCATCTGGATGATCCAGAGGAGAATGGGAGAAGGTCATGTGGTCTGATGAAACAAAAATAGAGCTTTTTGTCTAAACTCCACTCGCCGTATTTGGAGGAAGAAGAAGGATGAGTACAACCCCAAGAACACCATCCCAACCGTGAAGCATGGAGGTGGAAACATCATTCTTTGGGGATTCTTTTCTGCAAAGGGGACAGGACGACTGCACCGTATTGAGGGGAGGATGGATGGGGCCATGTATCGCGAGATCTTGGCCAACAACCTCCTTCCCTCAGTAAGAGCATTGAAGATGGGTCGTGGCTGGGTCTTCCAGCATGACAACGACCCGAAACGCACAGCCAGGGCAACTAAGGAGTGGCTCCGTAAGAAGCATCTCAAGGTCCTGGAGTGGCCTAGCCAGTCTCCAGACCTGAACCCAATAGAAAATCTTTGGAGGGAGCTGAAAGTCCGTATTGCCCAGCGACAGCCCCGAAACCTGAAGGATCTGGAGAAGGTCTGTATGGAGGAGTGGGCCAAAATCCCTGCTGCAGTGTGTGCAAACCTGGTCAAGACCTACAGGAAACGTATGATCTCTGTAATCGCAAACATAGGTTTCTGTACCAAATATTAAGTTCAGATTTTCTGATGTATCAAATATTATGTCATGCAATAAAATGCAAATGAATTACTTAAAAATCATACAATGTGATTTTCTGGATTTTTGTTTTAGATTCCGTCTCTCACAGTTGAAGTGTACCTATGATAAAAATTACAGACCTCTACATGCTTTGTAAGTAGGAAAACCTGCAAAATCGGCAGTGTATCAAATACTTGTTCTCCCCACTGTATGTCTGTATGTATATATGTCTGTACGTCTGTCTGTCTGTCTGTCTGTCCGTCTGTCTGTCTGTCTGTCTGTCTGTCTGTCTGTCTGTATGTACAGTATGTGATGATTATACATGACTTATTGAGGAGGGTATTACTTTGTGATGGACTACCCCATTCAGGAAATGAAGAAGGCAGTCTCTGACTTCAGAGACGCCATCAACAGAAGCACAGAAGACATCAGCTGTGTTTTTGTAGTGACCACCTCCCATGGAACCCGTGATGTCATCACAGGTGTAGATAACAAAAGCCTGTCAGTGAAAGATATAATTCAGCCATTTGGAGATGAGCTGTGCCCCAAGATGAAGGGGAAGCCCAAGGTCTTCATCATAAATGCCTGTAGAGGGAGTAAGTTACCACTTCCATGTACAGTACTATAGGGTTACAAAATTCTGGTAACTTTCCCAAAACTCTCAAGTTTTTTATAAATCCTGTTTTGAAGATTCCCGGAATGAGGAGGGGATGAGGAACTCTGGAATCCTCCAACCAGGATTTCAAGAAAAACTGGGACATTTGAATATTGTTTTCTTAAAACATCCTCCACTAACTATTGTGAAATGAAATTATGCCAATGATTATTTAATGATGTACAATAATTGTCTTAACATATTTAAATCTAAGAGCGGGATGATTCTGGAGTGCCTGTTGACACTGCTGCTGATAGTAAACTATGGAAGGAGGACAAGGACACACGAACATACAGGTCCAGTCGAGTAGCACCATGTATTGATGATATGCTGGTTGCATATTCAGCTGTGACCGGTAATTGCATTAATTACTTTATTTTTTATTTTTTTGTTGAACATTTAATACACAGTGATGTAGGACACTCCCCTGCAGCACCTGCAAGTTTTAAAAAAATGTTTGGAATTACATTAAAGTAGCCTTAGAATAGCATGAGACTAGCTACACATTTTTCTATCTGCCCCATGCAGAGAATTGCGAGAAGTTAGCTGTTTTCCTATTTAATAAAATTATTTTTTTAACAAATAATAATCTGAACTTGCGTGGCCTTGCAAAACTGTGTAATGCCACTGAATACAGAATCAATGGTTAAACAATAGTAGTTATTTTCAGTCAAGCGAATAACTAATTAGTAAACTATTGCATAACCAAAGATAATAGATACACTTGGAACAGCATCTCAAATGTATGATTAATGTATCATACATTCAAATAAATCTAGGTGTTCATTAAAAGGAAACATGAATGACAAATTATGTTCTTGTTACAGATTATAAGTCCTTGATGAGTAGCATGGGGTCACATATGATTGTCAACATAGGTGAGGTGTTCAATTCACCCACAGAGGAAGAACATGTCTATGACCTATTTGTGAAGGTACAGTCTTTCTATGAATAACACATTAATGGCACCCCTTCATGTGTTACATAGTAAAACAAAAGTGGCACTGGCAACAACATTAACTAACGTTGGTGTTGATGTCTAATTGAAGTCTTAAATACAACATGTTTTAAAGTAGAAGACAAGTAGGTGACCAGTATGACGCAAACACTATAGTGAACTTTTAACAAATTATTTACAAAATTACGAACGATTGCCAGAGTGGCTTTTGGATTAGTTTCCATTTTGAGTGCTGCCATTTGGGATGGTTGATGTTGTCTGGACGGCATTTCCAACCACTGTGATCATAATTCCAACCACTGTGATCATAATTCCAACCACTGTGATCATAATTCCAACCACTGTGATCATAATTCCAACCACTGTGATCATAATTCCAACCACTGTGATCATAATTCCAACCACTGTGATCATAATTCCAACCACTGTGATCATAATTCCAACCACTGTGATCATAATTCCAACCACTGTGATCATAATTCCAACCACTGTGATCATAATTCCAACCACTGTGATCATAATTCCAACCACTGTGATCATAATTCCAACCACTGTACATTGTGATCATAATTGTTTTCTGCATCCACAGGCCAACGCAGAGATGGTGAAGAGAAACGCTCCGAGTAGTAGAACAATGGTGGTGATGACAATCGAGTCCACCCTCAAGAGGCTCTTTTACCTGGGACGTAAATCTTCCACTGACACTGAGACTACTAATGCAGAAAGGTAAAGGCAGAGAGGTGAAAAGTTGGAAAGGACAGTGGCTTGCGAAAGTATTCACCCCCCTTGGCATTTTTTCTATTTTGTTGCCTTACAACCTGGAATTAAAATGGATTGTTTTGGGGGGGTTGTATCATTTGTTTTACACAACATTATTGTGTTATTGTGAAACAGAAAACTTGAGTGTGCATAACTATTAACCCCCCCCAATGTCAATACTTTGTAGAGCCACCTTTTGCAGCAATTACAACTGCAAGGCTCCTGGGGTATGTCTCTATAAGCTTGGTACATCTAGCCACTGGGATTTTTGCCCATTCTTCAAGGCAAAACTGCTCCAGCTCCTTCAAGTTGGATGGGTTCCGCTGGTGTACAGGAATCTTTTAGTCATACCACAGATTGGATTGAGGTCTGGGCTTTGACTAGGCCATTCACATTACATTTACGTCATTTAGCAGACGCTCTTATCCAGAGCAACTTACAGGAGCAATTAGGGTTAAGTGCCTTGCTCAAGGGCATATGACAGATTTTTCACCTAGTCGGCTCGGGGATTAGAACTAGCGACCTTTCGGTTACTGGCACAATGCTCTTACCCACTAAGCCACCTACATGTTTCCCCTTAAACCACTTGAGTGTTGCTTTAGCAGTATGCTTAGGGTCATTGACCTGCTGGAAGGTGAACCTCCGTCCCAGTCTCAAATCTCTGGAAGACTGAAACAGGTTTCCCTCAAGAATTCCCCTGTATTTAGCGCCATCCATAATTCCTTCAATTCTGACCAGTTTCCCAGTCCCTGCCGATGAAAAACATCCCCACAGCATGATGCTGCCACCACCATGCTTCACTGTGGGGATGGTGTTCTCGGGGTGATGAGAGGTGTTGGGTTTGCGCCAGACATAGCGTTTTCCTTGATGGCGAAAAAGCTAAATTTTAGTCTCATCTGACCAGAGTACCTTCTTCCATATGTTTGGGGAGTGTCCCACAACACCAAACGTGTTTGCTTATTTTTTTCATTTCACTTCACCAATTTGGACTATGTTGTGTATGTCCATTACATGAAATCCAAATATAAATCCTTTTAAATTACAGGTTGTAATGCAACAAAATAGGAAAAACGCCAAGGGGGATGAATACTTTTGCAAGGCACTGTATATGAAATCCCAGAGTCGACAAGGTAAAACGTCTGTCCTTCTGCCCCTGAGCAAGGCAGTTAACCCCCAACAACTGATGTATATTAAGGCAGTCCCCCACACTTCTCAGATTCAGAGGGGTTGAGTTAAATGCGGAAGACACATTATAGTTGAATGCATTCAGTTGTATAACTGATTCGCTAGCCACTTGATACAGAAATAAATTAATTAATAGTAACATAATAAAGTTGTTTTTTTAAACTCTCAAATTGTTGAAATAAACAGCCACTACAAATAGCCAATTTTAGCCACCACTACATTACAATCAATGGAAGTGATGGGGGTAATCGTGCAATATTTGTTTCTTTTTTTAGTGGACAAATCACCTAATGTCAAACCGTATATGGAGTTGATGTCAGTTGATCTGGCCATGACATTTCGAAAATTGCACAATTGCCCCTATCACTTCCATTGATTGTTAGCTAACTGTGGCTAAAGTTAAAGCTAACTGTGGCTAAAGTTAGAGCCATCTGTGGCTAAAGTTAGCTGAAGTTTTGTAATTAGTGTTTACAGAAAACCTAACCATGGCGTATTGTTTCTCCTGGCCCATATATTACTTTCAGGGTCTAACATCAAGTTGTATAATTTTGATCTTCCCTTAAACCTATTTGACGAAACAGATAACCTTTTTTTTTAAATTTAGTCATGAACTGAACATGTTTAATTGTATTTTTACATGCCGATGACGTTTGCAGTTGTTTTCTTGATTTATAATACTTTTCTAGGCTTTTCTACCCTGTAAAGCCAAACGTCTTTCCTCCTCTTTCAGGCAGGGGGGATGCTGTCTGTTGTGAAGTAAAGGAGAAGGAGGATGAGGAGGAGTTGGAGAGGTACAAGAGAGAAATGGAGAGATTGATACTGGGGCTTGGGGCGTTTCCAGAGCTGGAACAGCTGGTCAACAGGAAGGAGACCCTGCAGAGGGACAGTTTAGAGGATTGAAGTGGCCATCTTGAACCGCAGGCATTGAAAATGTCATGTGTAAATACTGATTTTGGTTCCTAGGGAATACACTTCAGGGGGAAACCAAACGGGGTGGGACCTTCCTGAAATAATGTGGAGACAAACGTGAATAAAATGATGGTTATTGAATCCACTGTCAAAGAAGCTCCTTTACTTAGGAAATAACAAATATTGCTAAATACAGGGCAGAGATATGTAGCTAATATCTTTTTTTTTTTTAGGCGGGTGTGGGGGGGGGGGGGGGGGGGGGGGGGTTGTTATGTTGCAGTCTGTTTTTGTTTAATGTCTCAATGTTTGGAATATTCTGATTTAAAGCAAAACAATTCTGAGCTTATTGTGTATTTGTAATTGACACCAGTTGATGTGTCATGGGAGAAATAATAATACATTTACCTTTTATGTTGTCATTGTCCTTTACATTGTCATTGTCCTTTATGTTGTCATTGTCCTTTACGTTGTCATTGTCCTTTATGTTGTCATTGTCCTTTACATTGTCATTGTCCTTTATGTTGTCATTGTCCTTTACGTTGTCATTGTCCTTTATGTTGTCATTGTCCTTTATGTTGTCATTGTCCTTTACGTTGTCATTGTCCTTTATGTTGTCCTTTACGCACATTCTCTTTATGATGACGATGTCGATCCTCATGAGGTGTCAGCGAGACAAAATCTAATGCTATGGATTAAAATAGTTTTACATGCTCTATCCAGAATAGAATAGATGCTCAGAAAAAAAAACTCCAACATTTCTCCATACAGTTATGCTGGAGTGGCAAGGGGAGGCTGGTCCTCTTACAGAAGACCGGGGCGTATTCATCAATGCTGGAGTGGCAAGGGGAGGCTGGTCCTCTTGGGGAAGACGGGCGTATTCATTAATGCAAACCATAGCGAAACATTTAGCAACAAAAACAAATGTTTCTTATTGGACAATTTCTGATTTGTCCCTCCTCGTTTCGTCCGTTTGAGATACTACCATCTCTTCATCGTAGAGCCATGGAACTCTTTCCACAACCAGGGGTGGTGTATTTAGTACTGCACATCAAAGCAAACCGTAGCAAAAAATGTTTCGCAACAGAAAATGTTTTGCAACAAAATAGTTTCTATTGGAGAAATTCAGGAAGATCACACCCTGTTTGCTTCTGTTTGCTTCTGATTGGTTCCCCCCGGAGTGTATTCTTTAGGAACCAAACGGAACCAAACGGAACCAAACAGAAGATGAACTAACTGATGAACTCACTGATTAATCCTACTATGGTACAGATATCAGAGAGCCCTTCACCTGACTGACTATGTTTATATGTATAATAGTAGTTTTGGTGCCCGGGAGATTAGATACCAGAGAGCCTATTTGTATTGATTCCTGATTGGTCATCAAAGAAAGTTGAAAAGGTGAAAGGTCAGACTGTATGTCTTTATACAATGATTACATCTTACCTTAACACAAACACAGAAGAAAATAAACTCTGACCTTTGATAAATGAATGCAGTTCAGAGTTCAGAGGGACACAAGAGGAAGAGGATCCGTCTAACCACGTCTTTATTTCACTTTCTTCACACTGTGGGAGCGAAAAGCAACATGGTGATACTTCCTCAGTAGCTGGAGTCTCTGGTCCAGAATCAATATGTCATCCACCATCGCCTCCTTCCCCACTAAAGGTGAGTTTGACCTAATCTAATGTATTACTATGGAAGGTTTGTGTAAAGTGAGTTTGATCTAATCCAATGTATTACTATGGAAGGGAATTCATTTAGTTTTTGTAATCAAGGAGTTATGCTGTAAATGTTTTATTTGTAAATGTGTATTTTATGGTCTGTGCTGTAATTCAGTATCATTCAAAATCATAGCAGAAAGAAACATTAGGTCAAATTGCAAAAGGGAAAAATTTACACTTTTGGAAGAAAACAGACAACATTAAAACTTTTACAATAAACGTTTATAATGTAGATCAGATGGAGATCAATTTTAAAATGCCATTGAAAAGTATTTTCAGATGTGCCAAGTAGTTTTCTTGATTTATCAAAAGGTTTTAATACCCTAGGAAGCTAATAACCTTATAACACCTTTTATCCTCTCCTCTGTTCCAGGAAGAAGGGAGCCTGTCTCCAGGGAAATAAAGAAACAGGAGGAGGAGGTGAAGAAGAGGTACGAGGGAGAGCTGGAGAGACTGACACAGAGACAGACTGAAGAGCTGAGGCAAGCGAGGGAGAGGGGGAGAGAGAGGGAGGAGGAGGTAAGGAAAGAGATGGAAGAGGTGATGAGGAGAGAGAGGGAGCAGAACGAGCGGAGGGAGAAAGAGAGAAGGATCTGTGAGCGGGTGAGAGAAATGGAGAGGGTGAGAAGAGGGGAAGAGAAGAGGGAGGCGCTTCTAGAGGAACTGGACAAGAAGGAGAGAGAGATGGAGGAGGAGAGAAAGAAAATAAAACAGCAACTGTTGGCCCTCGCCCAGAAGATGAAAGAACAGAAAGCAAGGGAGGAGTGGATGGAGAGAAGGATAAGGGAGGAGAGAGAGAAAAGAGAAGGTCAACTGATGGACCACACCTGGAAAATGAGACAGATGGTGGAGAGAGAGGAACTATTGATCCCCATGCTGAGGAAGATGGTAGAACGAGAGAAGATGATTTGCAGAGACATGAAGGAACTGCAGATAGACATACGCAGGTAATCAAAATGTAATATATAAATAATCAATTTAATATTCAACTAATTGAAATCGATATATTTGGTTTCATATATTTGTATTGGTTTAGAAAAGCACCCCATTAAGACTAGCTGTCTCCAGTAAGACTAGCTGTCTCCAGTACGACTAGCTGTCCCCAGTAAGACTAGCTGTCCCCAGTAAGACTAGCTGTCTCCAGTACGACTAGCTGTCCCCAGTAAGACTAGCTGTCCCCAGTAAGACTAGCTGTCCCCAGTAAGACTAGCTGTCTCCAGTACGACTAGCTGTCTCCAGTACGACTAGCTGTCCCCAGTAAGACTAGCTGTCCCCAGTACGACTAGCTGGCCCCAGTAAGACTAGCTGTCCCCAGTAAGACTAGCTGTCCCCCAGTAAGACTAGCTGTCATTGGCGTCAGCTAACGGGGATCCTAATAAATCAAATAAAACTATCAAAGGGTTGTTTGTCAGAGTTATTACAGTATGTTAAAGGGATAGTGCAACATTTTGGCAAAACTTTTTTCTACTTCCCAGAGTCAGATCAACTAATGGATAGCATTTGTATTTATCTGCATGCGGTTTGAAGGAAGATTGATGTCGTTTCTGGATCCATTGCTAACTAGCGTTAGCGCAACGACTGGAATTCTACGGGAACTAGCATGCTAGCATTTGGTTTGATTGTCAAAATGTTGCACTATCCCTTTAAGGCATTTTATATGTTGTCTGTGTATATGAGACTCCACAATGTAGTTGTAATAACTTACAGTACTGGAATTATCACTTTTTATTGGAGACTTGGTTAGTGATCATTCATCATGTTCTCTGCAGATGGTGAAGGGAACCTTCTGTCTTCTAGCTGATGAGGAACAAACAAAATGGAAATGGACGAAAGAATATATGATTATCGAATCCACTTTCAAGGATATCCTTTACTTGGGGAAGAAAGAGTGCTTCTGTCTACAGGGCAGAGGTATGGTTAGGTTTGGCACTGGCCAAAAAATAAGCTTTATGGGGTGAAAATCTAGATTTTCTTAGCTAGCCTATAGATAAATAATCCACTGTTAAAGTTTCTTCCATCTTTCTTAATGAATTGATTTAAAACTACACATGGTTTATGTGGCAATGACAGTCATGTTAAATTGACTTTTTGTTATTGTAAAAAATAAATAAAAAATCACTATCGCATATTCTACATTTCTTACAAAATAGTTTGTTGTTGTATTTCAGAAAAGCACCAGTTGATTGATTAGATTGGTTACCAACGACAGGGACCACTGTCATCTGGATAACTATTCCAATGAGTTGGTCTTTTTCACTTGTTTCATTATGTTGACCATGTGATGATGTTCACTGCAATTCAGCTTTTAGCTGGGAATGTGTAACATGTTTGATGTTTGAAGAGGACCACCATGGAAAAACGTTTTTTTTTGTGTTATCCTCCAATTGTCTTTTTTTATTTTTTTATTGTCAAATAAATCATATCAAATTGATGGAATCATCAGAGAAATAACAATACATGTACTAAAATATTCCCTTCTGTCGCCCTAATGCATATCCTCTTCTGATGAGCCTCTTATTAAAGCTACAGTCAAAATATATAAATTAAAATGATCCAGAACAGAATGAATATATATATATATATATATATATATATATATATATATATATATATATATATATTCCTTCTGTTCTGGATCATTTTAATTTTAATTTCTGAGCATATATATATATATATATGCTCAGAAAAAAACATTTTCTCGATCCAGTTCTGCAGGAGGGGGCCTAGTGGAAAATAATGGGCTGTATTCATTAATGTAAACCGTAGCAAAATCTTTTGCAACTATTTACATTTCGCAAGGAAAAACAAGCGTTTCTCTCATTGGACACATTCAGGTCCTTCCCTCCCCGTTTTGTCCGTTTTTTTCTTCCGTTTGGTTCCTGTTGAATACACCCCTGGCTGTGGTAAGAACTCCATGGCTCTACGATGAAGAGATGGTAGTATCTCTGAACATGCAGTAGAGGGCGCTCTAGAGGGTTTCAGAGCTGCTTGCTCTATGATTCAAGTCAGTGTTTTTAAAAACCTGGGTTCTGGGTATCCCACAAGGGGGTTGCACATCTTTGTTCCTGCCCAGCACGCACACAATTGAATCCAGCTAATCAAAGGCTGGACAGTTAAATACGTATCAAATGTATTAGTGCTGGGTTGGAATAAAAGCCTGTACCTGTGGGATACCCCCCCCCCCCCCCTGTAATAGTATATGCGGATGATGTGTTCTTTGTGTTGTATGGAAATGGACTTCTATATTAGACGTGGCTGTAGATTTAGCATTAGGTTGTTATTAAAGAAACTAAAACAGAAAACAATGTTGAACTTGTTCCTGTGTGGTGATGGAATCACGAGGGCTGTCCAACAAGTTGATTTGTAGAGGAAGTGGGAGGGGGTAACACAGATCAATTAAATGATGAACTCACTGAATAACACTTGACCTACTCATCTCAGGTACAGACAACAGAGAGCCTGTTCTGATTGATCCCTGATAAGTGATCAATAACAGATGATAAGATGGAAGGTTGGACTGTCTGTCTTTCTACAATGATTACGTCTAACCTGAACACAGAAGAAAATAAACTGTGACCTTTGATAAGTGTCACGCCTGCTCCCGCTCCCCCTCCCTGGCGCTCGAGGGCGCCAGGCTGCCCATCATTACACCTGTCACCATGGTTACACACATCAGCGCTTCATTGGACTCACCAGGACTTCATCACTGCTTTATTACCTCCCCTATATCTGACTGTTCCTCAGTCTTATCCTGTGTTCCTCCCCCTATACCTGTCTGTTCCTCAGTTGATCCTTGTTTGCCTCCCCTATATCTGACCTGTTCCTCCGTTGATATCCCTGTGTTGCCTCCCTATATCTGACTGTTCCTCATTTGATCCCTGTGTTGCCTCCCTATATCTGACTGTTCCTCCCAGTCTGATCCCGCGTTTTGCCTAATGGCAGTTATTGTCTTTATGTTTCCCCATGTCCAGACGCCTGTCCGTGTTTTTGTTAAGGTCTTTATGTTAAATGTTCCTTCCGGCTTTTCTCGTCCTCTCAGCGCTATCCTCACAATAAGAAAACATTGCATGCAGATTAGTAACTGAAGGAGGACGCAACAGCAGACCTGGGATCAACAGATGTGAAATCATGTTAAAGCAGTGGCGGTCAGTGACGTTTATGATGAGGAAGGACATTTTTTTATTTTTTATGAGCATGGCCTTATTTCTATTACAAAGAGAAAGCAACGGAAATTACATCCATCATTACTTTAAGACATGAAGGTCGTCAATCCGGAACATTTTAATAACTTTCAACTTTTCAAGTGCAGTCGAAACCATAAAGCCTATGATGAAACTGGCTCTATAGGACCGCCACAGGCAAGGAAGACCCAGAGTTACCGTCTGCGGCAGAGGATACGTTCATTAGACTTACCAGCCTCAGAAATTGGAGCCCAAATAAATGCATCACAGAGTTCAAGTAACAGACACATCTCAATGTCAACTGTTCAGAGGAGACTGCATGAATCAGGCCTTCATAGTCGAATTGCTGCAAAGAAACCACTACTAAAGGACACCAATAAGAAGAAGAGACTTGCTTGGGCCAAGAACCACGAGCAATGGACATTAGACCGGTGGAAATCTGTCCTTTGGTCTGATGAGTCCAAATTGGAGATTTTTGGTTCCAATCGGCGTGTCTTTGTGAGATGCAGAGTAGGTGAACGGATGATCTCCGCATGTATAGTTCCCACCGTGAAGCATGGAGGAGGAGGTGTGATGGTGTGGGGGTGCTTTGCTGGTGACACTGTCTGTGATTTATTTAGAAGATCTTCTGGTTTCCCAGATTTTCCATGGTGTTCTATTGTTTCCAGTACTTGTTTTATATTATCTCCAATACTATTTATATACTATTTTACACCTGCTGATTAAATCATTGTTTTCTATCCAGTGACTGAAATAGTTTATGTTGATTGAAAAAAAGTTAACTCTCTCAGTCGACGGAGAGAAATCTCTCCCCCTCGAATCCCCCTAAGTCGAAAAAACACATGGAAAGAAATGAGTCTTTCCTCGGGCCCCTTTCCTCTCTGAAGAGAACTCTCTCTCCGTCCTCTCTCTCACCGAGAGAGAGAGCGAGAGAGAGAGAGGAGATCCGAGAAAAGAGCAAGAAGGAAAACGTGAGAGAGAGAGAGAAGAGAGAGGGAGAGGGAGCGCCAAAATCGCTCGCTCCCTTTTTCCAACGCCTATGTCTCTATCGTACAACCCATCTCTATTCTTCCCCTCCTCTCTCTCTTTTCTCCCTTCTTTGTTTCTCCCTCTCTCTCTCTCTCTCTCTCTCTCATCTCTCCTCTCCTCTCCTCGTCTCTCTCTCTCCCCTCTCTCTCTCCTTCCCCTTTTATCTCTTCCTCTCCCCCTTTCTCTCTCGAACATTGCTCTCCAAAAAACTCTGGCCCAAAACTTCCCCTTCTCTAAAATTAATTTAAAATTTAAAACAAATGGTTTCCCAAATCCTAAAAACCGGATAATCCAGCCAAGAGGCCTTTGATCAACTGATAGCTGACATGTTTAGGCAAGATTTGGGGCCCTTTTTTGGGTTTCCGGGTTGAAATTATTGTCATAATTTGTATTTCGTTTTTGATATTATTCACACGGTTTTTCATCAACGTGTCGAAATGTATTCTTTAAAAATATCAGATTTGAACATCTGTTCATTGACCTCACTGAAAGTAAAACAGCCGAAATGAGTTATTTTAATATGTTCCATTTTAACTTAAAAACATTGTACTGCACTAAACACCTACAAACCTGTTTTCTATTTTTTTTATCTGTCTGTACTCATTTCTGTAATGAATACAACACCTTGGACAGATAATGGCGTTGAATTTGATTATTAAATCTTCCATCCGGTGATAAAGAGTGGTTGTGTCACACACAGTACAGTCACTTCAATCAAACATCGGATGGGATGGATAAATATATTACAACACCATAGATGGGGGGGAAATGATGTAATCTTTCTAGGACTCAAAATTTAAACCCCCCGGGGGGTTTTTTTCCCCTCTTTTTGTCCTAAAACGTTTTCCCCCCCCCTTTTCCTTTTTCCCTCCCTTCTTTTTAAATTCTTTTTTTCCTCCCCCCCTTTTATCTTCCTTTTTCGCAATTTTCCTCTTTTTTTCCTTTTTCTTTTTTAAACCCCTTTCTTTCTCCCCCTTCCTTTTCTTTTCTCTTTTCTCTCTTGCCCTTTTCCCCCAAGAGGGAAAAGGGGGGGGGGGGGAAGGGGGGGTTTTTGTACTTTAATTCTGCTAACATGTGACTGCAAACTGGCACAGTTTTAAAAACTTACCCTGGGGAAAAAAGGCTATTCCCGGGGGTTTCCCCTCTTTGGCCGGTCGACGAACAACTTGACTGGCTGTGCGGTGTGGCCAATGAATGATCATGAGTTCTTTAAGTTCTTTAACCAAGAGGGGGGGGGCTATGATATATTTCTGCAGAATAAACCATGCACACAACTGTGGTGTAGGCCTATGGGACATTACAATAATACTAATCTTTGAACTTCAACATAGATAGTGCAGCCTACTGTCAATCTCTAAATTATGAACAAATGGACTTGGATGGTTTGGCCACCACACTTATACATTTACTAAATAGAAATTTAGATTATGCTTATATGCTATTAATACGTTCTTATGGATATTTAAAATGCATATTAAAACATGAAAGAAGAGATGCATAGCACACTATTTTACCTCTGTACAAGCCATGGGAAACCCTGCATGCCTGAGGCAATCTCTCTCTCTCTCTCTCTCTCCTCTCTCTCTCTCTCTCTCTCTCTCTGTGCTCCAAGCGCTCATGCGTTTCCGTTGGTTCTGTAACAGCGGTTCTCACCAGCTGTTGCTGCACGTGGTCTCCAAAAGCAAAACACGGAACAGCGGGCAGAGAAGAGAGAGAGAGAGAGAGAGGAGAGGAGGAGGAATGAGAGAGAGCAGAGGAGCAGGCTTTCGAGAAGAGAGAGACGAGAGGAGGAGAGAGGATGATGGACGGAGAGCAGAGGACGAGAGGATGAGAGGAGGAGGAGAGGATGAGAGAGGACGAGAAGGGACAGATTAGAGAGGAGAAGAGAGAGAGAACGAGGGAGGAGAGACGAGCGACAGAGAGAGAGAGATTAGAGAGAGAAGTGAGATGAGAGAGAGAGAGAGGACTGATTGAGAGAGGAGAGAGAGAGAGAGAGAGAGAGAGAGAGAGCGCATCACAGATAGAGTTTCTCATTCAGCTCGAGGAAGAAACACAGCCCAGCCGCACATCCCGGTTTGAGTGACACAGATACAGGCTTACAGCTCGACGCACGGGAGAGAGAGATTGGAGAAGAGAAGGAGAGACAGGGAGGGAGAGAGATAATGGAAAGAGAGAGGAAATACATATTGGATTAACAAAAAATACACCAACGGAGGACTATTTTTCCCTCTCACATTAATCGGAATACAGCGGGATACGGTATGGAGTCCAGTGAGCTATTTTTAAGTGTGTTTGTCTGACACACTTTCAGCACCACTGAACATCTGACGGTGGAACGGACGAGGCATGCATAACGCGAGCCACCGCCTGGCAGAGAACGAGAGCGAGCCTCAGCTGCCCGACCCACACACGGATTTACCCGCCACTCGCGCACTCATCGGCTGCGTCCTCTCCCTGCTCATCCTTTGGACCCTACTGGGAAACTTCACGGTGTGCGCCGCGGTTCTGCGTTACCGGCACCTGCGCGCCAAAGTCACCAACATCTTCATTGTGTCTCTGGCGCTGTCGGACCTCCTCGTGGCGCTGCTTGTGATGCCGTGGAAGGTAACGTCTTGTAATCAATTGATTTATAAATAATTGATTGAAAATGGATTGATAACATATTGATATTATGATTGCCTAGAAAAATGATATCAGTGTCTCAATTCTCATTCACTCAATGTGGTTTTTAAATCGGTATTTGTTTTGTCAGTTGTATTATTGTGGAGTGACACTAAAATAAACGTTCTCTCTGTCTCTCTCTCTCTTTCTCTCTCCTTCACTCTTTCTCTCTCTCTTTCCAAGGCGGCGGCAGAGGTGGTGGGGTTCTGGCCCTTCGGTGCGTTCTGTGACACCTGGGTGGCGAGCGACATCATGTGTTCCACGGCGTCCATCTTGAATCTGTGCATGATCAGCGTGGACCGCTACTGGGCGATATCCAGCCCGTTCCGTTACGAGAGGAAGATGAACCGCCGCGTGGCCTTCGTCATGGTCGGCGTGACCTGGACGGTCTCCGTGGTGATATCATTCGTGCCCGTTCAGCTCCACTGGCACCGGGCTGGGATTGCCGGAATCACCGGGAGCGGTGACGAATTTACCCGGGACGTTACCGGATATAACGTCAGCGGGGTACGTCAACTCCACGGGGCGGAGGAGGCGAACGGCGGCGTTGTCGAACACTGGAACTGCGACTCAAGTCTGAGTCGGACTTACGCCATCTCCTCCTCGTTAATCAGTTTCTATATCCCCGTGGTGATCATGGTCGTCACCTACACACGTATCTACCGTATCGCCCAGGTCCAGATACGCAGGATATCCTCTCTGGAGCGAGCCGCGGAGCACGCACAGAACTGCCGCTCAGACCCATACGTGGCTGTGGATGCAGACGGGCACGTGCACGCTTTCCACCATCATCATCATCATCATCCTCCTCGCTCTAAACACCGCTGCTCCATCTTTCACCAAACCACCAAATCCCCAAAACACCACCATCATCATCATCATCCTGATCTTCCTCCCCCACAGCGGGCCCTGAGGTACTCCATTAGGAAGGAGACCAAGGTTCTGAAGACTCTGTCTGTCATCATGGGGGTGTTCGTCTTCTGCTGGTTCCCGTTCTTCCTCCTCAACTGTGCCGTCCCCTTCTGCCCAGGTAGGCTATCGTGAACTTTAAACTCAAATACGTCAACGTATTATTCACTGTCACCTTGAAAGAACGTTCAGGTCGGCAACATAATTCCCCTTCAGTATTTTTTATTGATGATGTGTATCGGGGCAAGCCCCTTGGTCAGGGCACAACAAGTGAACCTTCCCGAACCTTCTTTTTTAACACTTCAGTTTTACATTCCCGTCCCAGACAATATTTGAACTCTTGGTTAAAGCGCCAGAACACTACAACTATTTATTAATTATCACTGATCTGAGAGCAGCCCCCAGACACACGATCCCTGTCTAACTCTCATGCCCGTGTTCCCCCCCCCCACAGGTCCAGGTACAGCCTCTAGAACCTCGTCAGACCCTTCCCCCTCCTCCCAGCTGTACTGTGTCAGTGAAACCACCTTCGACGTCTTCGTGTGGTTCGGTTGGAGCAACTCTTCCTTAAACCCCATTATCTACGCCTTCAACACTGAGTTCCGCGAGGCGTTCCTCCGCTTGCTGGGTTGCCGTGGAGACAACGGGTGCTTCGGCGGCTGGACGACGAGCGCCACGCGCGTGGAGACCGTTGTCTTGGCGAGCAACGAGGCCGCCGGGACGGAGAAGAAGAACTCGCTCAACACAACTGAGATGGGCGTGGCTTACGATACCGGCTGTGGCGCCGGTAGGGGCAGTGTCACATCTGGTGTAATCCCCAACCCGGTTAGGGGGATGGGCGCTACCGACACCGTTAATTGACAGTAGAGGAGCTGTAACGGAGCCGGTGTGTGACTGTGAGGTGGATCCGGTTAGAGGAAGAGGTGACAGCAGGACGCCACCGGCAACGTTAACGGACCGTAGAGGGACGATAACGTTACCGGAGCCGGTGTGCGACTGTCCCACGGAGGATTGTAAAACAGACATAACGGATAGGGAACGACGGACTCAGATGATCCCCTCACATACTTTCTGATGAACTTTCAAGCTGTGCCAAACTGACTGTACCGTTGATGTCTGTAGTGGTTTGATTTACAATGCATCCACTACTAGCATCGGCTCAGCTGTTCATGGATTACATATATCAGGAAAATAGGTTTATCCAAAACATTCAATGGCCAATTTCATGAACGAGCATCGAGGATGGATTGAAATAGGGACATATTCCAGGAATTCTCTAGGCTAATGTTCTCTTCAACTCTAGTTCTTGAACCACCAAAGGTCTGTAATATATCGCTGATCTGACCTATTTTTATGTAAGTGGTCCCTCAAGGAGAAAGGATCAACCATATTGAGAAACACTGCTGTAGAATGCTGTTGCATTAGGTCAATGCCGTGGCTATATAAGAGTCATTCCACAAATTGCATTAGGTCAAATATCATTAGGTCAATATCAAGTCCTGATTGGTGTAGGCCTAAATCTGAGAAAGGGATAGGTTAGAAGAATCGAAAGATTTGCCCTGAGCTGAGCTGTGTCTCGGCTGTGTCTGTGTCTAAAAACCATCATTCTCTATCATTACGATCATATCTGTTCTGGACCTATGGGCTTTATTTGTGGGGGAAGTGTGACACTGTATGCGTCTGAAATGGCACCCTATTCCCTATGTAGCGCACTACTTTTGACCAGGATCCATAGGGCCATTTGGGACACAGCCTCTGTATTTCTCAGATTATCAGGGATTATCTCTCTAGTCCCTGGGGATCTTGTGTGATGTCATGTCACGGTGACGGTGATGATGTCCATCCAGGGTCTTTCTAAGCATCTATTATACAAAGTTTCACAACCAGCGCTCCCCCTCTCTTTCTCTCTACATCTCTTTCTCTCTCTGTCTCTCCCTCTCTCTCTCCACACCTCTCCCTCTCTCTCTCTCTCTCTCACTTCCCCTCCCTCTTTTCCTCTCTCTCTATTCCTCTCCCTCCCTCCATCTCTCTCGTCCTCCCTCCCCTTCCCTCCTTCTCTCTTCCCTTTGTCTCTACTCTACTACTCTTCTCTCTCTACACTTCTCTCCCTTTCTGTCTCCCTCTCCTCTTATCCCTCTGTCATGCGAGCGAGAAATCATTCATTTGTTCATCACTTCCTATCCCTGGTTAGGGTTAGTGCGACCTGCCTCATGCCTGGTTGGCACAGAAGGACAAACCGAATTGCTTCCATGGATGACTGGCTTGAATTGTGAGGTTGACCACACAATTTATTTTAATAATGAGCGAAATCTATTGGTTTCTACCCAAAGTTGCAAAGGAAATCTGATCTATTTCATAAACACAAGAGGCCAGCAAAATTGATAAAAGAGTGTGACGATATAGCATGAACAGCGACATCTAGTAGTCAAAACCTGGTAGTCACACTACTTTATGGTAAATAATGCAAGCGACTTCAATTACTAATTTCTCTGAACAGGGGGAAAGAAGCATCACCAGATTCACAGGGAATACATTACATAGTATGGTGAAGCAATACTCCAAGCCGCAGCTTCATACTACTTGTCCAACATAGAGAACTGGTATTGTATACTGGTTGTTGGGGTGTATTGGCATGGGGTGTGAGGGGTCCGTGGGTTCTTTTTGGATTCCTCATATCTTACTCATTGGTAGGAAGAAGTTTGGTCCAAATCAGATGTTGGCTACTATATTTATTGAATATTATCTGAATCATATACATTTAGATGGCCAATTTGGATGCAATCAATTAAATTAATTTCTCAAATAGTATTTGAACCCAGGTTGCATATTGTAACCCGTGAGGTTGGTTGGAATGGCTTTGCGAGCAGGTTTCCTGAATCACATCTCTCTGATCCATAACCTAACATGCAGAATGTGTGTATGTGCATGCCTCTGACTAAAAGCTAAGCCCAGAGAGAGAGAGTGTCTGTGTGTCTATGTTTAAGAGAGAGAGAGAGGAAGAGTGAGAGAGGGAGGAAGAGTGAGATAGAGAAAGAGAGGAAGAGTGAGAGAGAGGAAGAGAGAGGAATAGAGAGAGAGGAAGAGTGAGAGAGAGCGAGAGAGGTAGAGTGAGAGAGAGAAGAGTGAGAGAGAGAGAGCAAGAAAGAAAGGAAGAGTGAGAGAGAGAGAGAGGAAGAGTGAGAGAGAGGAAGAGTGAGAGAGAGCGAGAGAGTTAGAGTGAGAGAGAGAAGAAGAGTGAGAGAGAGAAAGAAAGAAAGGAAGAGTGAGAGAGAGAGAGAGAGAGAGAGAGAGATGGTGTTTTAGTTGCGTAACCTCCCTCTCCCCCTCCCTACCACCTCTAGTTTCCCTCCCTGGACGGTGAACATGTCATCATCTGTTTGGCTCCTGTTTGGTGGAAAGCTGACCAGCATTTCAAACTTGATTTTCCTTTACAAAAAATGTATCAACCCTTACAAAAATGTCCATTAATTATAACCCACATAATAATCCACATTTCCTGTTGCTGCAGGATTATGTTCCTGCTGTAGCAAACTGGCTCAAATTAAGATCATACATCTGTATGAAACAAGGTCACTGTGATGTAAACAGGACAGGAAAGGTCTTTGGAGAGAGGGAGAGTGGGGAGGGGGAGGGGGATGGGGGAGGGGGAGAGAGGGAGAGATAGGGATGGAGAGAGACACAAAAACAGAGAGAGAGAGGGGACAGGGGGACAATGACAGAAATGGACACAGAGAGAGAGACAGAAAGAGAGAGAGAAAGGTCACATGAGAGTGCCTGACCTTCTAAGCCATGCTCACGAAACCACAACAGGGCTGGTACATCCTGGTACACCAGTCTTCTGTCATTTATTCATTCAACACACCTCCAGGGTCTCAATAAAACACGCAGTAATACAACAACCAACCGCTGCCCTTGACTTTTTCCTATTAGTGTCTCATCTAGTTACAGTGTTCTATCGTGGTGCTAGTGTGCAACGTTCTGTAACAGAAGACCAAACGCTAAGCCCCACATACATCTGACCCTTTGGGTAGAAAAACAAAGACTTAAAGGACCACAATATTTATTTAAAGTAAATGTTTTATTGGCATGTTATTTTTATTTTTTTATTTTTTTTACAAATGTTTAAATGTGTAAGGCTTTTGGCTGTGGTCCGTGTTCGAGAACATCAAACCCGTAATGCGTTGACTGACCGATCTATAAATAATATTGAGTAGTTCACTGGCGTAACGCACTTTCTCTGGACCCCCTCTTTCTGGACTTAGCTTTGCTTTAGATAATGGGGTAAATGTTTATTGGTATGCCTATTTGGTCGTCATTTCCTGTTAAGTCTAACATTTCACGAAACAATAGGAATATATGTTGTCGCAATAACTGCCAATTTATACTGCAGGCTGTTGACAATAATGTCATCACTTGTTCAGGGGTGAAAGGTGAAAATTCAAACATTGCAGATTGTAAAATAAATGTTCGATGCAACAGCTACCAATTGATTGATTTTTGAATACACAACAGTCCTGGTATAGGCTAAGAACTGGCTGCAGCGCTACCTGAACCTGCATGACATGAGCCGTCCTCGCGCTCTCTCCCAGCTTGGATAGAAAGTCGTGCGTAAAACCAGTCTATAGCCAGTCCACCCTCAAAACACTAGTTTACTAGGGACTATTTCATTATGCAGTGTACCATCTATAGCTATGTACCGTTTTTATACACTTATTTTTTTATTTATAAATATGACATATAAAATAGCCTTACAATGAGGAAAGAAGTAGTCGGCTTGAGGATGAATTCAGGCACTATTTATTGTTGAGCAGGTTTTGTCTGGCTAATGATTGGAATATTCAATGTAAATTAAATTAAATTCAATCCAAATTGAGAGACTCCCCTGGTGCTTGGCTGCCCTTTGACAAATACAAATAATCTCACTCTTTTGTCTATAATAATCTCATTGTAAATAGTCTACCCGCACTGTATCTGCGAGCTGTTGGCTAGTGCGCAAGTGCCAAGACCAGAGAGAGCACATTCGCTAGGCTTATATATAACGCAACATTTCTTTCTGACAAAACCATCTGTAGAGTTGAAAATGCTATGTAATTCGCTCTGGATAAGAGCGTCTGCTAAATGACTAAAATGCAAATGTAAAATGTCTATGGAAACCCATTGAACTTCCATTTTTTTATTCGGTACATGGGAATGTACCTGTACAAGTAATTTTTATGTGCACTACGTCATCACGCACAGCCTTTTATCTGCAACAAATCAATTTGATGGAAACACACTCTTTCTGGTGGGAAAATGTGCATATTGTTTTTATGCGGATTTTAGAATATTTGCATGAAAATCTGTTGCCAATTGGATGGAAATGGAGTCTAACGACTGTCCTTGTTTCATCCTTCATTTGAACGCTCTCAAAAGTCAAAAGAACAAATATATTTGCTTATATGAAATATATTGTTGGAATGCTGTTTTTAAACTGTTAGCCATTAACCTACATACAGATGTAAGGTGCTGGTTTAAGACTTGTCTGGATGTACAAGTCAATTCAGTCCTTCATGCAGCTGTATAAGTGTCGTTCCACCAATTCAGTCCTTCATGCAGCTGTATAAGTGTCGTTCCACCAATTCAGTCTTTCATGCAGCTGTATAAGTGTCGTTCCACCAATTCAGTCCTTCATGCAGCTGTATAAGTGTCGTTCCACCAATTCAGTCCTTCATGCAGCTGTATAAGTGTCGTTCCACCAATTCAGTCCTTCATGCAGCTGTATAAGGGTCGTTCTACCAATTCAGTCCTTTTAAGAAGTGTAACTTCGTAAAACAAAACAAAAACTCTGATTTCATCCATTTTCAACATTCTGCCACAAAGAGCAAATTCAGAAAAAACATGTTTTCCATCTCAAGTGGTAAAATACAAAAGAAAATGACTATAGTAAGTGCCAAATAAAGTAACAGGGTTGACCGTAGCAGGGTGGATGATTTCATCTTAAATCAGTCATAAATCCCCTTGTGACAGGAGGAATGGAAGCTTGTTGTGAGCAACCGGGAGGGGTAATTGAATGCAAAACAGTTTTTATTGTAAAAC